CCCAAGTGAGGTGAATGTTGCCTGTGTGGGACCCTACTTTGAAAATCAGTGCCTTAGCTGATACCCATCCAGCCTTCAAAGCTCAGCACAAATTCTAGCCCCTTTCACAAATGCCCCAGACTTATCCTAGAATGTCAGAGCTGTGTAACTTTGAACAAGTTCCCTCTCTCTCTGAGCCTCAATTTCCTCATCTGTAAAATAGGGATAATGGGATAGTAGCACCTCCCCTAACATGACTGTAAAACTTAAAAATTCTAATTCATTTAACAGGGTTTACTTAGCACAGTATCTGGCACATAGCAAGCACTCAGTAAGTGTTAGTTGCCCCAGGTGTCAAGTTTGGGAACCACTCTTCTAGCCCTTGTACCTCATATCCAAAACTAGTTGCCACCAACACCAACTCATGGCAACCCCATGTGTGTCAGAGTAGAACAGTGCTCCATAGGGTTTTCGATGGCTAATTTTTGGAAGTGAATCACCCGGCTTTTCTCCTGAGGCAACTTTGGTAGGATTTGAACCACCAACTTTCCAGTTAGCAGTCTCATGTTACCCAGGGACTCCATACCTTATATACCAAAAAAACCAAACCCAATGCCATCGAGTCATTTCTGATTCATAGCAACCCTACAGCAGAGTAGAACTGCCCCGTAGGGTTGCCAAAGAGCAGCTGGTGGATTCGAACTGCTGACCTTCTGGTTAGCAGCTCTAGTCTTAACCATCGCACCACCAGGGCTCCATGTTCCTTATATAAAGATAGGGAAATAGACGCCCAGAAAAGTTAAGTCCTGTGCCCATCTCTGGCCCCATGTGCCTGGTGGCTGGGTCAGGATCAGGAACTATGTCTCCTGACTCCGGGTCTTGTCTTCTAGACTGCTTAAGTACTATCTCGTCCAACCCTTAATCTTCGCACAAATCCCCTCTCCAACATGCATGATGGGCAGTGGAACAGTTTGAGCATCTCCTGTGCACAGGAGCTCAGTGTATGACAAGGACATTTATCCACTGCTGAACACCTAATCCTCCAGTTTTTTCTTTTATTCACCCAAAATATCTAACAAGTGAAATTTTCTAAAACGCAGATTTGCCAAGCCATTTCCCTACTTAAAATTGATGACACGCTAGTGCCTTCAAGGTAAAAACACGCCTGGCACACAGGGTCCTTCCTAACACTGACCCTACTGACCACTCCAGTCTCATCTCCCACCAGGCCCTCACTCACACCCTAGCGCCTATCCAGGCCACTGGAATTGTTGACTTGTCTTTCTCCCACATTGGGCTCTTTAGAACAAGCCTGGGGCGTCATTTCACTCCCTCAAAACTGAACACAATGCCTGGCACACAAGAGTTCAAGGATGGGTGGATGGAAGGTCGGTTGAATGAATGTGTGGTTTCCTCCCTGCATCCCACTACAAAACTCTGAGAACTCAGGAAACCTCTCTGCTTTGCCAGCACAAATGAATCGTGTCATACCTCTGTGCTCCTGCAACCAGCCTGAAATCTATTTTTGGGATGGGATTTCTCCTACCAGAAACGCATTGTGCAAAACTCTGCCGGAAGCCACCAGTCACGCAGAACCTCCCATCTCCGATTCAGGAAGAGAATGCTTGCTTGCAACACACTGCTTCCACCCTCCCAGTCTTATCCCGACTCCTCCCCCAGCAGGACTAGTCTCACCTTGCCCCACAGCTGCCTGCCTGTTCCTACCTTTATCCTTCTCCATCTTTCAGAGCCTCAAGTGAGACCACTGCTCCTGTGTATCCAAATCAGATCATGTCTCTTGTCCCAGGTGGTATCACTTCCCCTGGACGCCTTCCAGGAATCAGCCTCCCTGCACCGGACTCACCTCTGGGTTCCTACCATGTTAATCTGCTACTTTATGGGTACACGAGCCAGGCCATGAAACCGTGCTCAACTGCTTAAACTCCTGAGATTTAAGGGCAGGGACAGCATCTTTATCCCTATCCCCGGCACCAGCAGAAAAGCTCAATAAATGGAGAAATTGGTTGACTAACCAAGGCTTGTTCAATAACCACCCTTGCTGACTAGCATCCTACTGAGCACCTAGTAGGTACACATATCATGAATCTTGCACACTATCATATCCCAGCAGAGAAGAAGTGCTCAATATTTGAGTGACTCAATGAATACATAAAGGACAATTAAGGCTTTGGAGTCAAATTTGCATTCCACTCCCAACCCCACTACTTAGTGGCTGAGACTTTGGGTAAGCTGCTTACCTGCTCTAAATCCTCTCCAGTGTGGGTCCAGTGGGACCTGCCTCTTTAGGGTTATTTTGCAAAGATACATATAATTTACAACAGCACCTGCCTCAACTTCACAAATACAGTGGTTCTGTAACATACTTTTTCAAGGGAGCCCAAGATAATTAACTTGTCAAGGAAGAAAAGTACCACATTGTTAACAGCCACCAAACTACAAATGTGCCTTGGAGCGGCGCTAAGGCAAGCTATAAGGTGACACCCAGGTTCCCTGGAGAATTTTCACACCGCCCCTTTCTACAACCACCTCAAGCTCATCTCCTTCTCACCAGACACTTCACAAAGCCCCACCAATTCTGAGTAAGTCAGGGCTTTCCGCCCCTGTAAATGCTGAGGGAAGGGATGTGCTCTCCTTGTTGATGCTGCTTAGTGAAGTCAACTTCGCATTTTTGTGAAGGTGCTTTCCAAGCCTGTTGACAGTGTAGCTTGGTCTGGTTCCAGTCAAGGATAACGAAGTGCTGAATCTCCAAGAATCCTGAGAGGTTCAACAGCGCAACTGTCCACAACCTAAAGCAAGTTCCTGCAAGCCCTCACTTCCTGTCATACAGCTGCTTAGCACTTCAGTTTGCAAACCGTTCCCACAAATGCTACTTCATTTGAGCCTCAAAATAGCCTTAAGTCAGGTAGGCAGAAAAGGCACCCTTGGTGAGACGTTAACTCAAGTAAGGGACCAAGTGACCTGACCAAGTACACCCAGCTGGACTATATGAAAAGCAGCAAGCACAGCGGAACAAGCCCAGAAGGCAGGCAGGTGAGGGCCAGAGCTGTGTGGACTGCAGAGGAAGTACCTACCCCGAGGGGCATGGCCACCCCCCAGCCCTGCCAACTGCACCAGGCAGGCAGGCCTCACTGCTGCCCATTGTCCCAGGAGGCTGGAAATCTGGGTCTTTATGTAAAATTTGCCAAGTTTCAAAATGTGCCTGTCCAACAAAGCCTGCCAGTTTGTGACTTCTATACCGTGGCCCAGGCAGTTTTAGGGGAAAAACAGGCCCACCCAGAGTTAATCACAACCCCCTTCCAGACGCTACTGGCTAAATGAATGCAAACTCTGCCCCTCCTCAGCACATCCCAATAGGAACGCCTCCACATTTTTACTTTGATGCCAACCTGCACCAGATTCAGCTGAACATCCGCCTCTGATACTCAATACTCCATTCTGAAAACCACCAACCCTTCATTCCCACTCCAGTGCTTCCACTAACCCCATTCTGAACCTTGTGACTGCCAACTCCCTGCCCCACACACCCTTCTCACCCCTCCTGCAACAGCTCCCAGCTTCCCCGGCCTGGTCCTGGACCAGCCCCAACATAACCTTCTCTGCTCCTACACCATCACAAGAAATGGCGTCTCCTACTGCACCATCTGCTGCCCCCACGCACTACGTATTCTTTGATGGTGCGTACCTCAGATCCCTGACTCCACACCACCTGCTGAGCACAAATGAACTACTACACCAACACTGACACTATTCACACCCCTCCCCTCCAGTGGGCAGCAGCCCCTTCTTAGGCCAAAGGCCTCACCATGTCCTCTCCAAAATGTTCAACCACTGTCCTGCAGCCTCTCATCCTTTCTGCATCTGTGACTGTTCCTCTCCTGGGTCTCCTTCCTTCTCTGCCAGGTCTGTTCAGCCCCGCTTTGAGACCACATTGCCACCCTTCATCCACTGACATGGTTCCTAACAGGATTTATAAGCTTGACTCCCAGTGAACCCAATCTAAGATGCCAAACCAAGCAACAGACATCACCTTCAGGAGAAAATGAGGAGTCCCTAGGTGGTACAAATGGTTAACACACTCAGCTGCTAACCAAAAGACTGGAGGTTCGAGCCCACCCAGAGGCACCTCAGAAGAATAGGCTGGCAATCTATGGCCGAAAAGTCAGCCACTGAAAACTGTACAGAGCACAGCTCTACTGACACACATGGGGTCACCATAAGTTGGAATCCACTCCATGACAAGCCCACAAAGCCATTAATGCCTCTTCCCACCTCACCCCAAGAACTCACGCACTTCAATTCATATTTCCTAACCTCTCAGAAGGCACCTCCACCAAGCCAGTAACCCTAAAACAAGCCCTCCTCAAAATCTCCCTATCTCATACAACTGACCAATAACCCCCAGTTTAGGCTCTCAACCCTGATGCCTGAAAAGGCTATAAAGAATCTGAATTTGACAAAAGAGCAGCAGTAACACTCAATGTTTCATAAAAACCACATACAATCGAAAGACCCATATACCATCATTACACACCACACCCAAATGTTCATTAGGCTAGAGCCTCACCCAGATTCCCCAGTAGTTCATTCACCCCATAAGCAAACCTGCAATGCACTGATCATAATCTTGACAGATTCTACTTCAGAATAAATGAAGAAAAGGTGATCTAGTAATTTTACTTTCTATTGAGATCAGCAAGTAATTTATTAAGAAGGCCAAAAAGGGGTTCAGATTTCAAACATCTCCTTCAAAGACCAAACAACTGCACCCTAAGTATTAGCATGAGCACACCAGACTAGCCCTACATGCTCCCGTGATGCCAACACTCTACACCTGAAATCTTCAAGCTACCGGAGGAAAGGACAACCACCGCCCATCATACCAAGTTTTCTCTGAACGCTTCATGGGCAGACAACACGCGAGCCTGAGCATCAGTGTAAACCTGCAACAGCAGCAGACTAATTTGGTAACTTCAAATACGTTTCAAAAAACCAGACACATATAAGTTTTTATAGTTTATTAATCCTCTGGTGAAAAATCCACACAATCATTGCAGATCAAGTCACTGCAGAATCTTTATTCCTTCTGTGAATCAAAGAAAAACAAGTTTAGTTGATTGTTAGCAACAGCCTTTAAAAATCTTTAAAAATTCAAGTTCAAAGTCTTCAACGAATTCTAAAATTAATGACATTCATGCAGAACAAATATTAATGAAGCAGAATCAAGTTATATTTGTGTGATCATACCACTTCAAAAACTAAAACTCAGAAACGCTCAAGTTAGGAATGCAACTAAAAAAATGGGTTAAAAAAATATCACTGAACTTTCAAAACAAAACCATGTCGTTATTAGTAGTTTTAAGACATTAGAACTCTTTAGAACATTTGTAAATCTAGTTCACATGCTCTACTTCAAACCAAGAAGTCTAGTTATCTAAATGAATAGCTTGAATTATACCTGTTATCCAATCTCCAGCTCACTGAATCAGTGGCAGGGAAGGGACAAAGGAAGAGGGAAGAGAAAGAAACACTTCGTTAATAGTCTCTTTTCATACCCCAAAATAATCTGCATTTAAGTGCACGCAATCAGATATGCAATTGTATAGAGCATTCCACTAACAGTAAAACATACATTTCTACTGAATGATTTTATTCCTACCAACCTGAGAACATCTTGCCTGATTATCATGGCTCTTATGCAAACAAGGTGGCGTGATTTCACAATGAAGAGATCCTTACGCCAATGGCTGTGCCTTATCCAGGCTGCCACTGCCTCCGTGTAGATGAAGTGGGTGGACCTGAGCCTCCCCCAATCCCTCTGCTCTGGCTAGCAACATTGTGTTGAGTGCTAACACCATCCACAGACTTGCTCTTTGAGTATGACACTACTTATTCCTTAGTTTAAAAAATCCTATTGCACCCAAAAGGTAAGAGTAAATACCAATTCTAACGTATGAACAAAGCTGAATTTTAAAAAAAAAATTCACTGTTGCCTAACTTTGAGAGGGAGAGCGCATGTGCTCATTTATGCATTCATTTCCCAGAAGCCCTTAAGAGCAGTGCCAGAAGTGCACCAGTGCGAACCTGAAGCAGGACAGTGATGGCTCAGGTCAACAGGTGGCACCTGTGTACACGTCACCACTGAGCCCTAACACACCGGACTCAAAGGCTGAATGGGGAAAGAATCAATGTGTTAAGTGTCCTTCAGAAGATGCAAAAGGACAAATTTTGAATGAACCTTTTCTCAATCTGTACAATCTGCATCAACAGGTGTAATCCTCATACAACAGGAAGCAGTTATAAGCAGCAAGTAGTGTCACTAGGAAGTCACTTGATCACAGTCCCAGGAAGGCAATACCAGGTTTATCTGCCTTGTCTGGAAGAAAGTCACTGTAAACGGAAGCACACGGGGCAGTGACTCCTATTTTATTACACTACTATGCCCACTTATGTTCAGCTGTTCAAATGAGCAAAATGTGTTTAAAATGGGGAGTGCACCATTCTGACCAAATGCTTGTGCGTAAAAGTGCATTCAAAGACTTTGATGTGAACTAACAATATCTTCAAAATATTTCAATTTAAAAAGGACACCAAAAACTGGAGACTCGGTAAGTAATAAACGGTAAAAGGCTTTGAGTGGATACTACCGGGACAGAGAGGCTTTACCAGATTTCATGGACCAGTTCATTACCAAAGCTGCCAGAGCATCCGACTGACTGGTAAGGGGAAAAAAAGAGACATGGCTCCCCAAGGGGAAGGGCCTACTCACTACCACGTGAGTGGGCCCTTTCCCCAAGGCCAGCATTAACTAAAGCCATTTTGCCACCGAGATGTCCAGGGTATGTAGTTCTGTAGGACGCAGCATCTCCCAAGGTAAGCTGAAAGATGCTGATATGGTAGGCCACCCACCACTTTCCTTTACCAGGTCATTTCACAACATAGCATGCATTATTGAATTTTTAAAATAAATGATTAAAAGTTCTCCTAATTTGTTCATAATACATGGTTTTAAAACAAAGCATTGGCATTATAAGAGACCACACTAAAAAACAATCGTCCAAAGCCAACATGCAAAGCATCAAAGCAAACTCAGTGCAGGTGATGCACCACACCGTGCTCACAATCTCAGTACCTGCTAGGCACTTCATTTCTGATGGACAAGAAATCCAAGAAAGTAGAGGGAAAAGGCAAAAACAAAGTTACGACTGAAGTTCACAGAACACTTGATTACTTGTCAATTTAGCAATCCAACACCTTAATTCCATTCCACTGTTCACGATTAGCTAGCCAAGCTGGTAAAAAGCTGCTTATCATTGGCTAACCAGAGCAGAGAGCAATTTTAAGAGATCTCAGCTGCCTCTAGCGTGCCAGGAAAACATGAGCCACATTGATCCAACTGCTTACTGAACAGTTGTCTATTTTAAGAAAACAAGTCAAATCCCATGGAGCTAGATCTGCTCCAGTTTAATGGTCTATGCCAATTAGCAGTAGAATGAAAGAAAAACTTTGTGATAGGGCTTGAGAGGAGCCCACCAGGATAACTGAACCGATGTGGCCCAACCTACTGTACTAAGACACACTATGCTACATAGCATCTCAAAACACATTACCTTCTGTAATCCAGAAGAAGTAGGAAAAAAAGAAAGATTAAGAAAGGTTATTAAGACAACAAAACTCTTTTCAGAAAATAAGGCCTACACTTGTTGACGTTTCTGTATTTTCCCTGATGACCCATACCTTTTTGCCTGCACCAACGTTGGCCTTTGCAGTCCCCCTGACTTTCTTCATTCTGTTCTTGCGCTCCTTGCGCTGTTTTCTCGAGGTCTTTTTCTTCTCATACAGGCCATGCTGAAGAAGAATGGGTTATACAGAAGTGACTTGCAAACATGAACTCACGATTACTGGCTACTCTGGCATGGAAACTGACCAGGTCAGAGCTCCAGGAGTGCTCTGTGAAAGCCAAGAGATGGCCTGCAGAGAAAAACTTCACAGCAGACTTGCCCACTCAGAGCTCCTTACACAGAAAGTTAAGGGACCAGCTGTTCTGTCCAGCCTTGAACCTACAGCTCACTAGGTTCCCACATTTTTTTTTCTTCTGCACCATCAAAGCAAGACACCTCCCAAGTGGCTTCCCCGTTTAGGGTCTCCTCCCGACTGAATACCTTATTACCCACCAGTGACAAAAGCCTTTTATCAAGAGCTCTAGCCCCCCAACGTAGACTGGGCTGATCTGCTCACTTACTATCTTCTATTCATCTTTGCCCTGCCCACCTCTGAGCTTGCAGTTCCTGCTGCCTAAAAAACTCTGCTTCTGAATCTGCAAGGATCTCAGCTTCCCTGCCATCTCCTCACAGGAGGCCCTTCCCAGACCACTTAGTTAAAAATAATGCAACATCTATCCACTGGGGTGGCTTAACCAGTAAGCACAGTATGCACCAGCTTACAGTAAGCAAAGGATGCCCAGGCTGTGTTTACATACTAATCCGTAGTGAACAATTTCACACGGGTTTCACCCAACAGCTCCTATCTATGGCAGTTAGTTTTAAATTGCTGAATGATCTCTCACAGCTGGGCGATGGAAACTGGTGGGCCAGTAGCAACTGCTCACTGGCAACCCTCCTCAAACGGCCACCAGGGCACATACCGTAGTCGCCAAACCTTAGTTATGTCTCTGGTTCACCCCATCTTCAACGTGGTGAAAAACAGATGAAACTGAACTACAGGTTAGTAACACAATTAAGCCAGTGCATACCTTATTACGTAATCCATCCCTGTCTATCAACCACATCTCCATGATCTTCCCTCACAGCAGGGAGTAAAATAGGTCAAAGGGTAAAAGAGGATGCAAGAGGCATTTCAAAATAATGATATGTTTGCTTATTTATACTATCTGTCTAGAATATAAGTTAAGGAGCTTGCCGAGTTCACTCTGTAGTGCTTGGCAGTCTCACTAAATGATCAAAAACCTTTCGTGGTTCCTGGCTTCCTGTGAAATTAAATCTAAACTCCACCCAAAAACCAAACCCATTTTCACTAAGTCAATTCCAGCTCATTTCGACCTTACAGAACAGAGTAGAACTGCCCCACAGGGTTTCCAAGGAGAGGCTGGTGGATTCGAACTGCCAACCTTCTGGTTAGCAGCCAGCCTCTTAACCACTGCGTCACCAGGGCTCCAAAAATCCAAACTCAGTAGCATGATACAGCATTTCAAGATATTACTGAATTTGGTCCCAAGGTACCTTTCCAAACCCATCCCTCCACTTCCCCTCTATGAAATGAGCTCCTCAATCTCCACAAGCACTTCTTTCGAATCCAGCTCAAATGTCACCTTCTCAAAATGCTGCAAAAACCTCTCTGAACCTCTCCCCCAACTCCATCTGTGCATTTATCAAAGAACCTTCTCTATTAACCCCTTAGGAGTTCTGTATGTCTTTGTATGATGTCCCCCCACAGACCACTTACTGTGCCAGAGCATTCTACTGCACCCAGAACACAATGTTATTGAAAAAACAAAGTCTTCAGCAACTGTGGAAGAGAGGAAAAACACCTACTCTTGCAAGTCTGTGTTTAGGTTCATTTTTCTTTGCATAATCCAAGGAATCATAAATCATGCCGAAGCCAGTAGTCTTTCCACCACCAAAATGGGTTCTGAATCCAAACACAAAGATGACATCTGGTGTGGTATTGTACATTTTGGCTAGTTTTTCCCGAATTTCTGTCTTAGGTACTGTTGCCTTTCCAGGGTGAAGGACATCGATGACCTAAAAGGAGACATCCAATTTAGTATTTATCATAATGGAAAACGCCTTTAAAGAACAGTTACCCAAACTTTGACCTGCCCTTGCTTACCATTTGTTTCCGCTGGAGTAGTCGATTGGTCATGAACTTCCTGGTCCGGATAGTCACTGTGTCGTTCTGAAAACAACACACTGGTTAATAAAACTACTCAACCTTTTTTTGACCTTGCTGTAATTTTCCAAGATCTAAAACTGCAGTATCCAATTCAGTAGCCACTAGAATACATAACTAATTATTAAATAAATAAATAAAATTTAAAATGCAGTCCCCCAGCTGCAGTAGCTGCATTTCAAATTAGACAGCACAGACAGGGAACATTTCCATCATTGCAGAGTTTTACTGGGCAGCTCTGCTCTCATGTTTGCCATGAGAAGTCCAAGATGCATCTAGAAAATTTACTGTGACCACAGACACATACTGAACAATAACAAAGGATGTACTGAAGTACACAGTTCACAAGAAGGCACTATATTGTACCCCATTTTAGTGCAGCATGAGATGGTCTGTAGACAGGTTCCCATCACACTGGAAGGCAAGCTGTGGTGGTCCAGCACAGATCAACCCATCACTTGCTGTACTACTCATTTGAAAAAGGGAGGGACAGACATTCAAATGGCCACCAGACACGTGAAATGATGCTCAGTGTCCTTAGCCATCAGAGTTGCAAATCAAAACCACGATGAGATATCACTTCATTCCCACCAGGATAAGATGAAAAAAAAAACCGGAAATAACAAATGCTGGCAAGAATGTGGGGCAACTGAAACTCTTATCCATTGCTGGTGGGAAAGCAAAATGGCACAGCCATTGTGCAAAACAGTGTGTCCATTCCTTGAAAAACTAAAAATAGAACTACCTTATGACCCAGCAATTCTATTCCTAGGTATATATCAAAGACATAAAAACAGAGACTCAAAGAGACTCGTACACCAATGTTCACTACAGCACTATTCACAATAGCCAAAAGATGGAACCAACCTAATACCTATCAACAGATGAAAAAACAAAATACATACATACAATGGAATACTACTCAGAAAGTAGGAGAAATGAAATCCGGATAGATGCTACAGTATGGATGGAGCTTGAAGACGTTATGCTGAGCAAAATAAGCCAATTACAAAAGGACAAATGCCATATAACATCACTTACAGAAAAGATAAGGACAAATATATACAGACTAAAGTTTATTAGTGGTTACCAAAGGTGGGAGGAAAGAGGAAAAGGGGGGCCTAATGGTGATGGAAATATTACACTGATTAAGGGTAGGGTTGCACGGCCAATTATAATCACCATATACTTGTATACCTGTAAAAAGCTGAATCAGCAAAAGGTGTGTAATAGATGTATTTACGATGACAAAAGAGAAGCTGCTGAGGCTGCTTATGCACAACCAAACACCTCATGGGATCTGGCTCCTTGGTTTGGAGGTTTAAGGTCATGGTTTAACGGCACACCCCAGTTAACTGGCCTAATAATTCATTTACTGCTTCTGTTCTACCTCCTGGAGCCCTGGTGGTGCAGCGGTTAAGAGCTCGGCTGCTAACCAAAAGGTCGGCAGTTAAAATCCACTAGCTGCTCATTGGAAACCATATGGGGCAGTTCTAACCTGTCCTATGGAGTCACAGTGAGTTGGAATCAACTCGAGGGAACAGGTTTGTTTTTCTGGGGTTTTTTTGGTTCTACCTCCTACTTCGGTGCATAGTGCCTGAGGTATTAAAAGCTTGCAAGCAACCATCCAAGGCACAACAATTGGTCTCTATTCACCTGGAGCACCAGAGGAAGAAATGGGATGTGTAGGTAATTGTCTCCATTAACAACTGCCCCATTTGCCATCAGACCAGAAGAACCGGATGGTGCCCCGCTACCATTACTGAATATTCTGATCTAAGATTCCACAGAAGAATCCTAATCAAAAGGGGGAAACTGCACAACAGAATATCAAATTTTCATGGGCTCTAGACTTTCTGGAGCCATGGAGGGTAGAAGAATCCCGAAACTACTGCCCTGAGATAATCTTTAAACCTTAAACGGAAAATAGTACCAAAAGTTTTCTTAAAACTGAACAATAGTTTAGCTTAACTACTTAAAAAGGTTTGCCTTGAGCATTATGCTCTTTTAGAACTATCTATATGGGATCAAACTGACAACAGCAACTCAAAAGATTAGATAGAAATCTTAGGTGGCAGTGAGTTTGTTAATAAGGAAGGAATAACTACAAAAAGGAGGCTGAGAACGTTTGCACAACTGGAATCAACCGTTGGCACACAATAGCAACTTTGGCTTCTACGCACTAGATGCCCTCAACAATCCAGTTGTGAAGATCAAAAATGTCTCCAGATTTTGCCGACTGTCTCACTAAGGGGAAATTACCTCCACTTGAGAACTTCTCCCTAGTAAAACTACAGTGGCTCACACAAACGTTATAATCACAAAACCGTGTTTATAACAAACATGACATAAATCTGCACTACCTGCATGTAACCTACTCCTCTTAAATGGTCAACACTACAGTCAAGTCCAAGGAAATGGTATTCACTTCGGGAATGGTCTTTCACACAAGAAATAACTACTAAACACATAAGCATGCAACAAGCTTACAGTGACTTTAAAAAAAACTGCAAACACAAGGCTTTCACCAGGAACTGACTTGCTACATTTTCAATGTTTCAAAAACCAAACCAAAATTAATTCACGTCAACAATACTCAATTCTCGAAACTGAAGGATCAAAGAGGAAAAAAAGGCTTGCTAGAGTGTAGTTAAAACGGGTGCTTAACCTTTAAAGATGGATCTACCTACTCATGACTTAGGGCAAGACTTTTGCCGGCTTCCCCTTCCAGGGCCTCCGTTTCCTCAATATTAAACAAGAGAATCCATTCAGCTGACAATTTCCTAGCTTACACGCCGGCACCCTCTGCACCTCTTTGGCTACCATCACCTCCAAGCCGCCTACCCCAACCTGGGCTGCAGGCGGGAAGTGCCTATTGACTAGGCCCTCTCCATCCACTGTGCGCCAGGAAGCTGACAAGCGCAGCAGCCGCTCGCGCAGTCCCAGGCCCTGGAGCCCAAGTGTCCGGGTCCACAGCCCAGCCCCGCCAACCACGACTACCCCGCCGGCGGCTCCAGGGCTCTTGGCAACTGGTCCCTGTCAAACACGGGCAGTGAAGGGCAACTGGGCTTTGGGCAGCTATCGTGCAGACGTGGGGGATCGGGGAGCGAAGGATGGCTGGGATATTTCGCAGATGACTGCAAAGCTCATGGAGACTCACCATGATGGCGGCAGACGATCAGGCAGCCGGCAAAGAAAAGAGAGCTAGCTTTCGCCGGCCAATCATATCAACGCGCACGAAAGGACCCTAGAAAGCGCCGGCGAGGGGGCGTGGCCTGGGCAACGGGGCCGACCGCGCCAATGCCAGACTGAAAGTGCCCAAGGGCCGCCTCACCAACCTTTGGCCACACCCCTAAGATTCTGGACTAGCCAATTCGGAGCCGGAACAGCTCAGGCGAGCTAGATTTATGAAAGCGCGTGCTTACTTTTACTTGGTTATATTGAATTGCCCGCACATGTTGTTGTGAGGGTCCCTCCAGTTGGTTCCACTCACAGTGACCCTGTGTACAACAGAAGGAAACACTGCCTGGTCCCATACCATCCTCACAATCGTTTCTATGTTTGAGCCCATCTTTGCAGCCACTGTGTCAATCCATCTCGTTAAAAGGCCTCATCTTTCTTCCCTGACCCTCTACCAAGGATGATGCCCGTCTCTGGGGATTGTTGTTGTTAGGTGCTGTCAGCCGATTCCGACTCATAACGACCCTATGTACAACAGAACGAAACACTGCCGGGTCCTGTGCCATCCTCACAATTCTTGTTATGCTTAAGCCCATTGCTGCAGCCACTTTGTCAATCCGTCTCGTTGAGAATCTTCCTCTTTTTCGTTGACCCTCTACTTTACCACGTATCTTGTCCTTCTCCAGGGACTGCTCCCTCCTAATAACATGTCCAACTACGTAAGACGAAGTCTCGTCATCTTTGCTTCCAAGGAGCATTCTGCCTGTACTTTTCTGTCCCTACGTAGAATTTCGGTAAACAGAATTAGACTTTAAATCTCGCCCATCTAAGGAGCCCTAGAGCCCTGGTTGCGCAGCGGTTAAGCGCTGGGCTGCTAACTAATAGGTCGGAAGTTTGAATCCAGGACGTTTGAACCCACCAACTGCTCTGTGGGAGAAAGCTGTGGCAGTCGGCTTCCATAAAGATGCACAGCCTTGGAAACCCTAACAGGCAACCCTATGGGGAAGTTCTACTCTGTCCCACAGGGTCACGACTCGGCAACAACGAGTTTGGGTTATTGAGTAAGAGTTTAGTAAAGCTGAAAGGTATCTTAACATGATCCTCTTGGCTAGCCTCCTCATTTTACTGCTAGGGAAACTTCAGAAATTACTGACTCCAAATCCTATTTCATTTCAAATACAAAACACTGCCTGTTTTAGTTTATTATTGCTAAGTCTTTTTTTTTCCTGAGACTTCTCTGGTGAGTCTCTGACTAAAAACAAAAAAAAAAAATGTTTGTTTTCTGCAATTTGTTTTGCTTAAAAGTGAAACAGACACATGAAGATAAGAACATAAGCGTGCACGTTCAAAGAGAGTAGAAACAACTTACCAAAGGTTTGTGAGGACAAGGACATCAGAGAGCTGGCTTTGAGGGCAGCTCTCCTATAATCCTCAGGAGATAATAATAATAGTTAATACTCATCGAACGATTGCTATGTATCTGTTACATTCTAATTACTTTTACCTTCACTTTGTCATTTAACTCTGAGAAATAGGGTAGTTTCCCAATAACTCTGAGAAATACAGTAGTTATTATCCTTTTTATAGGTAGGGAAACTGGGACACAAGAAGTTGAGTAACATGCCTAAGGTCACACAACTTTTAGACCCCATGGATGCACTGTGATTTCAGAGGCTTCACTCTTAACCTCTAGGTGACAAAAAGTCATTCATTACAAAATCTTGTTGGTATTATATAGTATTGTCAATGTTATTCCAAGGCTACATTAAGTGATTAACTGCTGAAATGTGTTAGCAAAACCCGATCTGACTTGCTGTCTGTAAAATTTGTGCTTTACTAGTGGGGATCCACTAAAATGAGATACTTTTCCTTCTTAAAATTCAAGAATGTTGGAATGTTATACTGGGTTTTATTTAGTTTCTCACAAATATTAAGGAATTGGCTCCAGGTTGTGTAGCACTGAGCCCTGTGGTGGTATGGTTTCCTTGCTAGTCCAAAACTAAAAACCAAACCTGTTGCCTTGAGTGGATTCCAACTGTTCTGTAGGACAGAGAGAGCTGCCCCCATAGGGTTTCCAAAGCTATAAATCTTTATGAAAGCAGACTCCCACATCTTTCTCCATGGGGCAGCTATTGAGTTTGAATCGCTGACCTTTTAGTTAGCAGCCAAGCACTTAACCACTGCGCCACCAAGAGATTATCCTTGCTAGTCACATACACTAAAATGTCATCGTAGGATCACCTCCCACAAATCGTTGAGGCTGTAGGCAAGCAGTTTATTTCTTCAATACATGAATGATTTTCATTTCCCATTTTCCCTTCATCTCGTTTCCCAAGCTCACCAAGGTTCAATTTTCAGATTCCTTTTTTGCAATCAAGAATATAAGCTTAGTTCTTTCTTTCAAAACAATTCTTTTATTTTTTAATTGTTCATTTACCAAGAGAAACCATTTCTTAGCCGGTGTATACATATTTTATAGTTCCAGAACGTTGGTTAGTGACTACTTCCATGGAACTCAATCCAAATAAATTCTTTACAATTCCAAAATCACTTTGCACTCTGAAAAATACCAGCCTTCTTCATCTCCTCACAATCTTTCACGAATCATAATTTCTGTAGAAATCTGCATATGCCTTCTTTCTTGGTTGAGCTATTGCAAACTTACAGAGCTGCCATCCCCAGGGACGTAATGAATGCTCCAACAATAAGAAATCACAGACACCTGACCAGAAGGCCTCGCATCTGAGGTTTCACGAAAACACTGGAAGGCATGGTGGTTATTAACCAACGTTCTTCCTGACAGCGCTTTTTCAAAATAATTTTATGAACTGGAGGTGCACGCGCATCTGTGTTTTCTGCTATGCAGCTTTCCCTTGACGCCCTCCAGATGGTGCTCTCTGCTCCTTGGGCCGGTTCACTTTAGGCTCCACCTTTCCTGAAAGAAGTAGAGGCTCTTGATTTAGATGGTATCGATGTTGATAATGACGATTTTCCATTTTATGCAAATTTTGGCTCTATGGCTGCCTGATAAGCCCTGAAGCAAGAAGCTTTTAATTTTTCTTTCTCCGCAGGTGTCTGAAGACCTAGAAAAAAATGCACCGGAAATGGGATTCTTTTTTTAAAAAACATCAGGACTCGTGCAATTCCAAGGAGGCGCCGCGAGGTGGCGGTATAGGGAGAGGCAAAAAAGCCTCATGCCCAAGGCCTCTCTTGACAGACAGACGCGCCGGCGAGTCGCGGAAGAAGAAGCGGACACGTGGGACGCCGTACGGTGGCGCGGAGGATGTCGCCGGGGTTTTAGCAGCGAGCGAGTCTAGAAGGGCTTCGGGAGCTGCGTGGAGAATCGTTTCTGTAATCCGACTCCCGGAGTCCCGAGGAGGGGGACCCTTGCAGCCGTCACCATGGTGAAGGAGCAGTTCCGGGAGACGGATGTGGCCAAGAAAATGTAAGATGGAGCAAGAATGGCCAGAGGGAGGAGAAATAAGGGGTTGAGGGGGCCTAGAAGGTCAGGTGTCCCGGGTCTGGCAGCGTGAGAGGTCAGGGACTATTAGGAGAGGAGGGCCAGGGATCAGCAGAAGAGGTAACCAAGGCTTAGAAGTAGCTGGGTAGGTCAAAGAGTAGTGATCAGGCAGAGAGGAGTTCAGTGCCGGAGGGGTGGCGGACCAGGGAGTGTCTACGCTTAGGCAGAGAAGTTGGGATGTGGCGTGGGTCTTGGCGATGCGGGGTCTGTAGGCCTAAGTTTGAGTTCTCCCAGGGTTGAAAGATGACCACCTTTTAGCGACACTCGTCAGCTGCTGCATGGAGAGCGCTCCGGAGCCAAGACTGTCTAATTCGGGTTTTACCATAGAGCGCCTGACACAGAGGCCGTATTTGCTGACCAACAGGATGGGGCTGCCAGCTAGAAAGTCGTACCACAGGTAGATGGTCTCAGAAATGAGGCTGCTATTCTGGGCCCTTTCCTCTAGAGCTTATTAATCAGGCCAGAGCCCCTCAGAGTTTCCAGTACAAAAAAGAAATCTTATGACATCAGTGGTTCTTGCAGCAGACACTTACTAAGGAGGGTCCTGTGTAGCTTGTGTTAGGCCCAGTGTATTCATATGACGTGAATAAGACCTTTGTTGCCTAATCTAATTGGAGAAGGTAGAGGAGTCAATGTTGGGTGTGATAAATACAAAGTAAGGGAAGCATAAATAGGGTAATTAAGATTATATCAGGTAATAAGATTGTATAGGTGATTAAGGTAATATTCATATCACACACAAGTAAAATTTTGCTGAAGATCATTCAGAAGTGGCTGCAGCAGTATATTGACAGGGAACTTTGAGAAATTCAAGCTAGATTCAGAAGTGGATGTGGAATTAAGGGTATCATTGCTGATGTCAGATGGATCCTGGCTGAAAGCAGAGACTACCAGAAAGATGTTTACCTGTGTTTTATTGATCATACAAAGGCATTCAACTACGTGGATCATAACAAATTACGTGAAAAATGGGAATTCCAGAACAATTAATTGTGCTCATGCAGAACCTGTAGATAGATCAGGAGGCAGTCATTCAAACAGAACAAGGGGATACTGTGTGGTCTAAAGTCAGGAAAGGTGTGCGTCAGGGTTGTATGCTTTCACTAAACTTATTCAGTCTGTTTGCTAAGCACATAATCCGAGAAGTTAGACTGTATGAAGAAGAATGTAGCATCAGGATTGAAGACTTATTAACAACCTGAAATATGCAGATGACACAATCTTGCTCTCTTAAGGTGAAGAGGACTTGAAGTACTTACTGATGAAGATCAAAGACCACAGCCTTCAGTATGGATTACACCTCAACATAAAGAAAACAAAAATCCTCACAACTGGGCCAATAAGCAACATGATGACAAATGGAGAAAAGATTGAAGTAGTCAAGGATTTCATTTCACTTGGGTACACAATCAATACCCATGGAAGCAGCAGTCAGGAAATCAAAAGACACATTGCATTGGGCAAATCTGCTGCAAAAGACCTCTTTAAAGTGTTAAAAAGCAAAGACATCACCTTGAAGACTAAGGTGCATCTGACCCAAGCCACGGTGGTTTCAGTCGCCTCCTATGCGTGCGAAAGCTGGACGATGAATAAGGGAGACTGAAGAAGAACTGACGCCTTCAAATTGTGGTCTTGGGGAAGAATATTGAATATACCATGGACTGCCAAAAGAATGGAGAAATCTGTCTTGGAAGTACAACCAGAATGCTCCTTAGAAGCAAGGATAGCGAGACTATGTCTGATAGACTTTGAACGTGTTATCAGGAGGGATCAGTCCCTGGAGAAGGACCTCATGCTTGGTAAAGTAGAGAGTCAGGGAAAAAGAGGAAGACCCTCAACGAGATGGATTGACACGGGCTGCAACAGTAGGCTCAAGCATAACAACGATTGTGATGGCGCAGGACCAAGCAATGTTTCGTTCTGTCGTACATAGGGTTGCTGTGAGTCAGAACTGACTCGACGGCACCTAACAACAACAACAACAAGGTAGGCATAGGGAGTTCTGAGTGCACCTAATGGCAAGGGTGCCCAGGCAGAAGGAGGCAGACTGGAGGGGGAGAGGAGGGTGGGTGATGAGAGCTGTCGAAGAAAAAATTGTACTGGAAATGTTAAAAGATGACTTTTATTCTAAAGGAAGTTGCAAGGGAGGGGAACGGAATAAGGGACGGCAGGAAGACGCACTGTAATGAGAGGAGGGAGACGCCAGAACCATCTGTACTCCAGCTCCACTGAGACACAAGACTGCATGCTTTTTCAAAGGAAGTTGGGGTGGGGGGCTGGGTGAGTGATGTACCAAGGTTGCAATTTAGGTCTAGTTTGCTTGGAATGTTATCCTATTTTTATGATAAGGCCATCTGGATCCTGGGAGACCTTGGAGTAAGCAGAGGGGGAAATAAGGAAGGGGAAACTGAAGTTATTCAAACAGTAAATCCTTAAGTTATGGTCAGCTCCTTGCAGTAAGCCCTGTGGTTTTCCAGAACATAAAAGGGTGAGGGGATTTCTTTAACAAGAGGCTCAGGTAAAATTCAGCTTTTATCAGAAAGAAGCAGGAGACTTGAAGGAGTTAAGGAGTCATCTTGCAGATAGTGAGGAGCCTTTGAAGGGTTTTAAGCAGGGGAGTGTCTGAGTTCTTCTGGAAAATCTTTTTATTCTAGGGGAACAGGATTAGAGGGAGGGAGATCTCAGAAGCCATTGCAGGGATCCAGGCAGGGGATGATGGTGGCCTGCATAAGGGAGGCGGAGTCGTTGGGAAGAAGTGTATCTCAGAGAGTGGAGGATGTAACATTGGCAGGGTTGGTAGGATGAAGGTAAGGGAGAAATTAGATTGCTATGTGGTGTTTCTTGCTTGAGCAGGTGTGTCAGTGTTGCCATTCACTGGAGTGGGGGTCGTGCATCTTACTTGGATGAATTCAGTGGCCTCCCAGGTGGTCTCTCCAAATCTACCCTGGCTCACTGTGCTAGCTAGCCCCAACCCCCAGCCCCATTCACACATAATCCACTCTCACAAAACAGCCAAAGTGATTCTGTTAATATGCAGATTAGGTCCATGTCACCTCACCTAAAAATCCTCAAGCAGCTTCCCCTTGCACTGACGTTTAAATTCCTTACCAGGGTTCCCAAGCCTTACAGGATCTGGCCCCTGCTATCTCACCGACTTCGTCTTGCACCACTAACCTTCTAGGCTCCAGCCAGATTGGTTTCATTTGGTCCTTAAAAACACCAAGCTTGTGCCGGCCCTAGGACCCTTGTCCTACTCATTCTCTCTACTTCAAACGTTCTTCCTGCTGGTTGTCTCGGGGCTGGCTTACTCTTATTCCAAATTTCACTTTAAATGTCAGTTTTACAGAGAAGCCTTCTGACCACAAAATATTCAGTAGTTTCCTCAGATTCTTTTTACAACCATGTCTTAGTTATGTAGTGCTGGTATAACAAATACCACAAGTAGGTGGCTTTAATGAACAGAAATTTATTTTCTCAAACTTTAGGAGGCTGGAAGTTCGAACTCAGGGTGCCATCTCTAGGGGAAGGCTCACTTGGTCCGCTCTGGGTCGCTCTGAGTCAGAATTGACTCAGCGGCAGTGGGTTTGGCAATGGGATACGGGTTAGAGGAGCCCTGGTGGTGCAGTGGTTAAGCGCTTGGCGGCTAACTGAAAGGTCTGTGGTTCAAACCCACCAGCTGCTCCTCGGGAGAAAGATGCGGCAGTCTGCTTCCATAAAGATTATAAACCAAAACCACACCCACTGCCATCGAGTAGAGTCCGACTCATAGCGACTCTGTAGGACAGAGTAGAACTGCCCCATAGGGTTTCTGAGGCTGAAATTTTTATGGAAGCCAACTGTCAGCCACATCTTTCTCCTGCAATGCAGCTGGCGGGTGTGAACTGCCGATCTTCTGAGCGCCTAGCAAAGCACTTGCACCGCTGTGCCACCAAGGCTCCTTCCATAAAGACTACAGCCTTGGAAACCCTATGGGGCAGTGTTCTGTATAGGGTCGCTATGAGTTGGAATCAAATTGACAGCAGTGGGTTTGGTATAGGGGTTAAGATTTACAACATGTATTTGTGGGGGCACGATTTAATCCATAATTTACACCTCATCTCTTTTTAATTCTCTGAATGACACTGGTCATTCACTTTTATGTATCTGTTTGTTTGCTGTCTATTGTCCCCACCCTGAACCATGTACTCCATGATGGCAGGGACCTTGTCTGTCTCATCTAATCAGTTATACCTACGATGATGCCTGGCACATAGTAAACACCCAGTATTTGTTGGAAGAATGAATGTACAGATTTGGGTTCTGAAGATTGGCTGTTCGAACCCACCCAGTGGCTACACTGTAGAAAAACCTGGCAATTAGCTTCCGTAAAATATTACAGCCAAGAAAACCCTATGGAGCAGTTCTACTCTGTAACACGTAGGGTTGCCATGAGTCAGATGGATTCAACAGCAGCAGGTTTGGTTTTTGGTTTGGGGTGGTATACTCAAGGGAGCTGTCCAGAAGGAATTGTCTATACAGGTCTCTAGTTGAAGAGAAGTAGCTGGCCTACAGATACAGATTTGAGAGCCATCAACATATAAGCAAGTGATATGATCACTCAGGAAGAATGTGTAGAATAAAAGAGGGCAACGGTTGCAATCCTAGTTAGGGACACCAATATTTAAGGGATGACAGTGGAAGAAGGAGCCCTGGTGGCTTAATGGTTAGGTGCTTAGATGCTAACCAAAATGTCAACTGCTAACTGAAAGGTCAGCCGTTCAAACCCGTCAGTGCCTCCACAGTAGAAAAGACCTGGTGATCTGCTCCCATAAAGATTACAGCCTAGGAAACCCTATGGGGGGAGCTGTTTTAGTCTATCATACAGGGTCGCTTTCAGTCAGATCAACTTGACAGCACACAACAAGAAGTAGAAGAGACCGGCAAGAGGGGGAAGAAAACAGAGTGTATGGTGTCACCAAATCCAAGAAAAAGTATTTCAAGACGGGGAGGAGGGTGTTTAATTGCCAATGCTGCAAAGAGGTAAAATGAAACAAGTTCTCACTGGATTTAGGAACAGGAGGTCATCTTGGTGACCTTGGAGAGTGCCATTCATCTGACGGTCACAGTGAAAACCAGATTCAAGTAGGCTAAAGGGATATTGGTGAAGGAAAACAGGAGAAGTTTGAGTATATTTAGTGCTGGTAGGGAAGAGCCTGCAGAGAGTTGGAAGGATAAGTTTGGTTATGGTGGACCATGTATGTAATCAGTTTTTATTTTTTTGCTGTTGTTGAGAATATGCAGCAAAACATCCACCAGTTCAGTTTCTACATGTATTATTTAATGACATTGACTCTCACTCTCCTTTTCAGAGGTTTCTTCCCCCATTAACATAAATTCACTGTCCTCTAAGGTTCCTGTCCAATCTTTCCAGTTGTCATCTTGATCACATATAGATAGTTCTTAAAAGAGCACAATGCTCAAGGCAGACCTTTTAAGCTAGTTAAGCTAAACTATTGTTTGGTTTTAAGAAGACTTCAGGGGATATTTTTGGTTTAAGGTTTAAAGATTATCTCAGGGCAGTAACTGCAGGTGTTCATCCAACCTTCATGGCTCCAGGAAGTCTGGAGTCCATGAGAATTTAAAATTCTGTTCTACATTTTCCCCCTTTTGATCAGGATTCTTATATGGAATTGTTGATCAAAATGTTCAGTAATGGTAGCCAGGCACCATCCAATTTTTCTGGTCTCATGGCAAAGGGGGCAGTTGTCCATGGAGGCAATTAGCCACACATTTCCATGTTCTTCTATTCCTGATTCTCCTTCTTCCTCTATTGTTCCAACTGAATAGAGACCAATTCTGCCCTGCATGACCACTTGCAAGCTTTTAAGACCCCAGGCACTGCACACCAAACTAGAAGATAGAACAGAAGCACTAAACAAGTTATTAGGCCAATTAACTGGGATATCCCATGAAACCATGACCCTAAACCTCCAAACCAGAGAACCAGCTCTCATGAGGTTTTTGGTTGTACATAAGCATCCTCAGCAGCTTACTCTTTTTGTTTTCATTGTTGTAAATATATCTATCACACAACTTTTGCCAATTCAACTTTTTCTAGGTGATAACTTATTGACAGCAATTACAATAATCGGCTGTGTAACCCCACCCTGAATCAATGTGATATTTCCATCACCGTTAACTCCCCCTTTCTCTTTCCCTGCCACCCCTGGTAACCACTAATAAACTTTGTTCTCTATACGTTTGCCTTTTCTTGTCTTTTTATATAAGTGAGGTAATACAATATTTGATGTTTTGTGATTGGTTTATTTCACTCAGCATAATGTCTTTCAGCTCCATCTGTATTGTAGCATGTATCAAGACTTCATTTCTCCCACTGGCTGAATAGTAGTCCATTGTATGTGTGTACAACATTTTGTTTATCCAGTCATCTGTTGATGAGCATTTAGGTTGTCCACCTTTTGGTATTGTGAATAGTGCTGCAGTAAACATTGGTATACAAGTCTCAGTTCGAGTCTCTGCTTTCGAGTCTTTTGAAGAAATATCTGTTGAAGTCCTTTGCTCATTTTTTGATTGTGTTGTTTGTCTTTTTGTTGTTGAGTTGTAGGAGTTCTTTATATATTCTGAATATTAGGCCCTTATCAGATATACAGGCAGTCCCCAGTTTATGAACATCCGACTTACAGACAGCTCGCACTTAAGAACAGACTACCATAAAGCCTGTTGTATTAAAAATTTGAGTTAAATGCATGTGGTGATTCGTAAAAATGAACACAGGCACTACTTTGTGACGCTCATGAAAACATCGCACGGTTTGGAAGTGTTTCTTAAGTGTTTTATGTGCATAGAAAGGTAAGATACATACTATATACGAAGACAAGCATTGACTGACACTACCCAAGAACCGTATGTGCCTCTTCTGACTTACCTACAAATTCAACTTAAAGACGGACTTAGAAATGGATCTCGTTGGTAACCCAAGGACTGCCTGTATGGGTGAGGGCCTTGGTGGTTCCCCGGTAAAATTCTCCACTTCCATGCAGGAGGTCCGGAATCAGCTATTAGCCAGTGCACCTCATGGACAGGCACTACCTGTCTGTCACTGGTGGCTTGCGTGTTGCTATGATGTTGAACAGGTTTCAGTAGAGCTTTCAGACTAAGACGCTGTAAAATGGTAGTAGTACATCAGAGCCTGTCTAACTTCAGGGGGGATAATAACCTGGATCAGCACAAAGCTGATTCCGGTGAGGTGGAGGTCAGACATACCTCCACTCTCCAACTTTATTACCAATTCTAACACCAGCCGTCCCTCCAACAGCACTCTCTACTTTTCTTCTGGGTTTGATAATTCGTTGCAATAGCCATACACAACTCACCAACCATAATTACAGTTAAGTGGTTTATTAAGGAAGTAACAGTACCACTTACGATCAGGATCAGGAAGCATGTAGGCAAGGTCTGGAAGGCTCCCTTGTGGAGGAGAGCACATCCTTCTCTTCAGTGCAGAGCAGCTCTCTCAGCTCCTCTCAGCCATGCAAGCAAGCAGGCCCTTCTCTCTGCCATGCACACCCCGTCTTGGCCGTGCTGGCCTCTTTTCAGCCCCCTCAAGACAGGCCTACTTTTGGCCCCCTCACGATAGGCATCTCTGCCATCGGTCTCCCCAGTGCTAACTGACCCAGCACATAGCCAGTCTAGCAGTTTTGTTCAGCTCTCTTAGCTGCATTCCTAGCAGCAGATTTCTGCTGTCACTACTGATTTTGCCTCTGGGCCCCTTCTGGGTCTGTGGCCACCAGCTGCATCACAGGGTCCCTTCCAGGCATCTTGCTGTCTTCAGTGTTACAGCCCTTTATCTGTATTAGAGCTCTTTTAGGAGGTTCCTTGCTTCCTCTCTCTCTGTGTCTTCTCTCTTCTTGCCTCTCTTGCCTTTTTTCCTGCTTCCTTTTTCCTTCTTCTTCTGTCTACTGACCTCTACCGCGTTGGCTGCATATTTAAGCAAACTCTTTGTCAATTTTACAGCATGGCCCTCCCACTGGGCCATGAATTGACCAATCCCCTCTCAATAGGCCACTGTTACTTCATTTGCATAGTAGGCTATAGTCACTTCATTTGTACACTTAAGTATATAGACCAGTCCCTGCAAGGTGTGTAAAATAGACCAGTCACAGGGCAGGCTGCTGTCCAGAGCCAGCAAAAAGTATCAAATCACAAGTTGTTTACAGCTGACCCAGGAAATGTCAGTCAACCTGGACAAAAGTGGCAAACCCCCTGGGATAGAAAACTAGGGCAAAGGTAACTCCTCAAGGCGTAGCGGGGATATCTCTCAAGCTGTTTTTCCAAAGAGCCAAGGCAAAAGGAACTCATTTCGCCACAGATGTACTCGGAAGAAAGGCCTGATAATTTACTTCCAAAAATCATCCAGTGAAAACCCTATGTATCACAAGGGTCCAGTGTGCAACCAGTCGTGGGGATGATGTGGGACCAGACATGTTTCATTAAGTTGTACACAGGGTCACCATGAGTTGCATGCCAACTCAGTAGCAGCTAACAACAGATAAATAATTTGCAGATATTTTCTTGTTTTATAGATTGTTTTTTTTCACTTTATTGATAGTGTCCTTTGATGCCCAGAAGTTTTTAATTTTGATGAAGTCCAATATATCTGTTTTGTCTTTTATTGTTCATGCTTTTGGTGTCATATCTAAGAATCCATTGCCAAATCCAAGGTCATGATGATTGACCACTATGTTTCCTTATAGAAGTTTTATGGTTTTAGCTCTTTTGTTTAGGTCATTGATCCATTTTGAGTTAGTTTCTGTAGATGGTGAAGGTGGAGGTTGATGATGATTTTGATGTAATTGCTCCCCTTTCTTTCTGTTCCAGAAGCCACATCTGTTTTGGCATGAAGTCCCCTGAGGAGATGCGCCAGCAGGCGCACATCCAGGTTGTGAGTAAGAACTTGTACAGCCAGGACAACAACCATGCCCCCTTGCTGTATGGGGTGCTGGACCACAGGATGGTAAGACCCCTCTGCTGCACCTCCCTCCCAGGTCCAATGTTTTGACTTGCTAATAAAACTGGGGAGGGCCTTACTTCCCCTGTGTTTCTCAGACCCAGTCAGAGACTCCAGCCTTCAGTCTGCCGCATGTAAATATGTTGCAGCTTCCTAGTTGATTCAGAGCCACTTTCACAGATGTGAGGTCTGGTCCCACTTTCCTTTCCAGTGGGTTGATTATTGGATGTGCTTTTATCCAAAGGGTACAAGTGAGAAGGATCGTCCTTGTGAAACCTGTGGAAAGAACTTGGCCGACTGTCTGGGCCACTATGGATATGTTGACTTGGAATTGCCTTGTTTTCACGTGGGGTACTTCAGAGCAGTTATAGGCATCTTACAGGTGAGCACTCGTGTGTCAGTCTCCAAGGCGTAAATTGTAGAGTTAGGTTGGGGAAATTAGGGAGAGCTTAGGGATTGTGAGTGGTGGGGAATACAACTAGGGAAGATTTTTATACTAAATACATAATATTTTTATCTTGCACTGTATTAAAGTGCTAAAGGATTGTTTATTCCTTTATTTTCCTGGAGAAGGTGATAACGTGTGTGTGTGTATTTGTACGTATATATGTGTGTGTATATATATGTACTAGAAGATATTCTATATATATTTTTAAAAATATTCAAACAGTATGGAACAGCACAAATTAAAAAATGAAAGTTAACAAAACTCCTTGCACCCAGTATGACTACTGCCAGTGTTGTGGTGAACGTTGGCCACCTCTCAGCGTGTCTGTGTGTACGTCTGTGTCTGCCACCGTTCAGTGTCCTGGACAAGGGGGTGGCATTTTACAAAGAAAAGAGTTGTTCTTCATCACTCATCCTCTTACGCGTTCTGTTTAATTTTTAAAAGATGATCTGCAAAACCTGCTGCCACATCATGCTGTCCCAGGAGGAGAAGAAGCAGTTTCTGGATTATCTGAAGAGGCCAGGCCTGACCTACCTTCAGAAGCGAGGCCTAAAGAAGAAGATCTCTGATAAGTGCCGGAAAAAAACCATTTGCCATCACTGTGGTGCTTTTAACGGTGAGAGAGGCGTGTGGACGGTTTCGTGGTGGCCTTTGCACCAGCTCTCCGCTGCCTGCTCTGCTGGCTTTGTGTGCTTTCTCAGGGCAGCATTTTCCCTGTACGTCAGGGTGCAGAGCCTGGCAGCTGGCGCACCGTTAGCAGCTGTCCTTCTCATCTTTCATGGCTGTAACGTTTTCAGTTGTTTCACTAACCAGATTACAACCTCCAGCCAGCCTAAGAACCTAATTTGGAAACATAATTACCTTTGTTCTGTCTAAATAAATTAACTCTTATAGGTACTGTAAAGAAATGTGGATTACTGAAGATAATTCACGAGAAATACAAGACCAACAAAAAAATGGTGGATCCAGTTGTGTCAAATTTCCTTCAGTCTTTTGAAACAGCCATTGAACATAACAAAGAAGTAGAACCACTGCTGGGAAGGGCCCAGGTGAGCCTGAAATGCACACCCACCCTCTCCCTGCCTCCCCTGTTGTCTTAGTTACCTAGTGCTGCTGTAACAGAAATACCACAGGTGGGTGGTTTAAAGAGCAGAAATTTATTTTCTCACAGTTCAGGAGGCTGAAAGTCCTCCTTGAGGGCAGTGGCTCTGGGAGAAGATCCTTGTCTCAGCTTCTGTAGCCCCAGTGTTCCTCGGGTCCTTGGTTATCTTCATCTGGCATCTGTCTTCTCTTATTTGTGCTTGCTTGTCTGTCCAGTCTCCTTTTTATAAGTCATAAGTGATTAGGTTTAGGGCACACCCTACACTGATGTGGCCCCACTAACATAGCAGAAAACCCTGTTCCCAAATGGGATTACGTTGACAAGTATAGGGGTTAGGATTCCAACACATATTTTGGGGAGACACAGTTCAGTCCGTAACACCCGTACATCACACACACTCTCTCTCACTTTCACACTCATGTCTCCCTCACCTTTGTTCAGAATGAAGAGTCCAATTAAGTTAGCAGAAAAGTTCAGTTACTAAGTTAGCGGTTAAGCTACGAATTCACATAAAGGAACACTTGCGTGACAAGTCTTTATCTGGCACTTAACTTTAACAGCACATTTTTAATCATATAGGTAACGTGATATGTTTTCATTGAAAAAGATTTTAAAATTACAAATGTACACAGCATAAACTGAGAGATCTGTTCCCTCACGGACGATGAGGTGCAGGGAGATTTAGAGAACTCACCTTATGGCCATTAGTTTATTTTAATTGATCAGACTTAACTAACAGAATTTTCTGAAGAGTCTTGTTTTTTCTTACTCTGGATTTGATTAGTGCTTAACCCTCATAGTATTGTCTAGTTGTCGTTAGGTGCCATCAAGTCGGTTCCAACTCATAGCAACCCCTATATAACAATGGAACGAAACGCTGCCCAGTCCTGTGCTATCCTCACAGTAGTTGCTATGTTTCAGCCCATTGTTGCAATCACTGTGTTAATCCATCTTATCGAGGGTCTTCCGCTTTTTCGCCGACCCTCTACCTTACCGAACATGATGTCCTTCTCCAGGTACTTGTCCGTTCTGATTACATGTCCAAAGTATGTGAGACAAAGTCTCGCCATCCTCGCTTCCAAGAGCATTCTGCTGTAATTCTTCCAAGACACATTTGTTCCTTCTTCTGGCAGTCCATGGTATATTCAGTATTCTTTGCCAACACGATAATTCAAAGGCTTCAATTCTTCTTTGGTCTTCCTTATTCGTTGGCCAGCTTTCTCATGCATATGAGGCGATTGAAAATACCAGGGCTTGGGTCAGGCGCACCTTAGTCCTTAAAGTGATGTCTTTGCTTTTTAACACTTTAAAAGGTCTTTTGCAGCAGATTTGCCCAATGCAATACATCATTTGATTTCTTGACTGTTGGCTTCCACGGGCGTTGATTGTGGATCCAAGTAAAATTAAATCCTTGGCAACTTCAGTCGTTTCTTCGTTTATCAGGATGTTGCTTATTGGTCCAGTTGTGAGGATTTTTGTTTTCTTTATGTTGAGTTGTAATCCATATTGAAGGCTGTGGTCTTTGATCTTCATCAGTAAGTGCTTCAAGTCCTCTTAACTTTCAGCGAGCAAGGTTGTGTCGTCTGCATATCACAGGTTGTTAATGAGTCTTCCTCCAATCCTGATGCTACGTTCTTCATGTAGTCTAGCTTCTCGGATTATTTTTTCAGCATATAGATTGAATAAGTGGTGAAAGGATGCAAGCCTGACACACACCTTTCCTGACTTTAAACCACACAGTATCCCCTTGTTATGTTTGAACAACTGCCTCTTGATCTAGGTACAGGTTCCGCGTGAGCACGATGAATTGTTCTGGAATTCCCATTCTTCGCAATATTATCCATAATTCGTTGTAATCCGCACAGTCAAATGCCTTTGCATATTCAGTGAAACACAGGTAAAAGTCTTTCTGATATTCTCTCCTTTTAAAGTTGATAGTATATGAAACTAACAAGCTATGTGAGCAGCTGCTGAGTAACTAACCTCCACTGGACCCGTGAGGGAGCATCGGGAACTGCGGACAATGGGTCTGCTCTCAAGGGTCATACAGCCTACGTGTGAAAAGGAAGCTAATGTTACAGGGCAGAGTGCTGCCTGACACACAAATGGCAAGGACAGTAAGTTCAGTGGGGAATTAGGAGGAGGGAGATGTCACTTTGGACTTAGTGGTTAGTGAAGACTATGAGGAAAGATAATGGCCTTTAAATTTTAAAGATCTATTCTTTAAACTAGAGTAGAGTTTGAAGAGTCAAGGGCAGTAAGCTAGGCATGTCCAGGGTTATGTAGTATATAGGGTCATTCTGAAATGGAGGGTCTGTTTGAAAGGCCAAGAGAGCACTAATAATTACAGCTTACATTTAGTGCTTGCCGTTACGTGCAGGCGGTGTCCTAAGTGCCTCACGTGAACCGTTATTATAGGGGAAGCTGAGGCACAGGCTGAGAGGTAGATTCTGTCCCACCACAGCTGTGCAAGTGAGGAGCTCTCCAAGGTAGTGGCTTGTGCAGGAGTGGGGCCGGAAGCCCAGGAGGCAGCCTGGTTAGTAAACCTGCTTTCTTGTCCTTATTTGCATCTCTTCCCTCCAGTCATACTGTTTTGGTTCTAGATTAGTATCTTTGACTTCCTACCACCGTCACTTTTACAGGACTGCTTCTCTGTCTCAGCAGACTCAGCAGTAGCAGGGCCTGGGAGGCCTGTTTCTTTGAAAAGTTTCCTAAAGGATGTGGCCCAGGAGATATCCCCTTCCCATGTAAGGGTCCCTTCTCTGGCACATCAAGCTTGGCTCTCAGAGCATTCCCCAATTGCCACCTGTCAGGCCCACCCTACTTTTCCCAAGTTGACATCCTAGAGGTTAATTACCAGCATCCATGAAAATGGCATAGAACCAAGCCGTGTTTCATTCGGTTATACATAAGGTTGCCATGAGTTGGAGACGACTCAGCAACAACTAACAACCACAGCAGCAGGGTACTGGTGAAGAGCCTTGGCTTTGGAATCGAACAGATTAGAGCCCAGCTCTGCCACTTACTAGCTCTGTGACTTTGACCTAACCTTCAGTCTCCTCATCTATTTAGCAGGGACTACAGGATTGTCTGCTTTAGGACTCTTGTGAGGATTGAGAGATGGATTCCAGGTCAAGGGCTCAGCACAGTCCCTGGCACATAGCAAGTGCTTAGTGCATGTTACCCAGTTATAATAGTATTTGTCACTGCTGCTGACACCCCTATAATAATAATATCATAGATGAGGCGTCAGCCCACTTCTCTGCTTGTCTGCTCCGTTCATAGTGTTCCGCCCGTCTTCTCACCAAAATTCCACCTATCCCTTAACTTCTTCCATGAAGCCGCCTCTGATATCTGGACACACCCCCTTTGGTCTTACCCTCCCCTGAATCACAAGTATATTCTTCATACCACATGTAACACTTGATCACATCACTTGTGTTCTGTCTTGTATTTTTGCTTGTTTCTTCTTAAGATTAGTCTGACAAGATCCATTTTCTTTGATAATTTTTGATGCCTGTCACAGTGGTTGGAGCAGCGGCAGATCCTTTGTAATCATCACCTCATCCTGGTCCTTCCTACACCACCTGGGGAGAGGGCCAAAACATGAATTCACCACTTGCCTCCTCCCGAGCCCCTCATTCACATCAGTGAATAAAATGTCAGGGAACGCCTTCGCATTTCACGGAAAGGGACGGCATGCAAACAAGTGGTCATGTTGCCCCAGTGTGCATCACAGTGTCTCAGGGTAGCCCATGGTTCTGACATTTTCCCCTGCCCATTACTTTTCAGGCACTTGGAACCCCATACCTTCACGGGCAGCACACCACGACTGAGTTAGGAGACACCCTAGAGCAGTGGTTTTTAACCTATTCTGGGCATAGACCCTCCCCTACCCCCGTTAGGAATTGGACAAAAACTGTGAACTCTGTCCCCTGAAGACTAATGTGTGCTTACACCCAACTTTAATACAAACCCAGGGGTTTGTGGGCCTACAGACATGAGTTCCTCTGTAGAGATCATGAGTCCTGTCTCCCTTACCAGGTGGAAATGCCTCCCACTGTGTCACGATGTCCCCAGCAGACTGAGTGACCAACTGTCCTGGCTGGCACCCTTCCAGTCACAGCTATGTCACCACTGGCTGAGGCAGCACACTCTATCACCAGAGAGCCCCAGTTAGAATATTCTTCCTTGGGCACACTGAACCCCCTCCGTACTGCCTCTCCAGCCCCGGGATTCTGTTTTCTAGTGTGTAACAGGATATGTCAGCAGACTCTTCCATGTGCCTCTTGGTAGGCAGTCATTCTGTCCCTCTTCAATTTTCTTTCTCATACTAAGCAGCCCCTTTATTTACCCGCTGTTGCTAAGAGATGGTTTCCAGACCCTTGCCAATCCTCATGCCCTCCGAATGTCCTTCAGTTCCATGATGTTCTTGGCCAGTACTGACTGGTACTGCTGGTGAGGTCTGGTCTTTGTATCGTCCCTAGAATTCTTCTAATACAGTCCTAGATTTATACCTGACTGCCTCAGCTGGTAGTGAGGGGCCCATGGCTAGAAGACAGGGATGTTGTGGGAGGGAATTCTGCCCTGGGCGAGGACCTTGAGTATAAGGCCTGTCTCGGGCGATTCCTTCCATCTCCCCAACTACATGCCTGCAGAGCGGGCCACAGTAACCTTCTCTTGCTTCAGTGTTCTCAGTGCTTCATTACGCTTCTGATTAAGTTATGCGCTGCACATTCGGCTTGTAACATGTACTCTCAGTCACACAGTCTTAGATCCCAAGGAGATTTCATAAACAGGTATAAGACACAGCTGACCATTCTTACATCTCTCTGGAAATTTGCATAGTTCCCATAATATGATTAAGTGGTTACAGCATAGCACTTTTATTGAATGAAGTTATTAAAAAGGCAATATAAGCTTATTACAGAAAAATATAAAAAGAGAAGCAAAATGATTATAGCTCTACTCACCTGAAGAGAGTTCTGTTAACACCTTGGTGACCTCTTCTGTTTTCTGCAGATGTATATTTGCCCCCAACGTGAGATGATATACACATGCTTATTTCTCGTGCCAACACTTGTGAACACTTTTCCATGTTAATAGCTACATTTCTTCTGTGATGCCATTTTTCAGTAGCTTCATAGTTTTCCATATAAATCTGCCATGATTTATTTAGCCTATAATTTATTAGATTGTTTCCAACTTTTCACAGTTAAAAACAACTTTAGTGAATATTCTTGTAGCTGAATCTTTGTGTTCATTTCTAAAAGTATACCTTTTGGGATAATTATGAGAAGTGAAATAATTGGCTTAAATAATTGGAATTAGGGGCATGCACTTTTTTTTTTTTTTTAATTGTACTTCAGGTGAAGGCTTACAGAACAAATAGTTTCTCATGAAACAGTAGTACACATATTGTTTTATGACATTGGTTAACAACCCCACAACATGTCAACCCTCTCCCTTCTCAACCTTTTTTTTTTTTGGAAAATATACCTAGCTAAAGATACACCGTTTCAAAAATTTCTACATGCACAGTTCAGTGACATTGACTACGCTTTTCCAGTTGTGGGGCATGCACATTTTTAAGGCTCTTACAACATAGCATGTTACCAACAAACATTTCTGCCTTCACTTACACTTATTTTAAGTTAAATGACAGGTTAGAAAACATGAAGTAAACCTTTGCTCAAGCTATGAAAAATTAGTATAACGTCTCCATTCCTTCCTTTCCTTCTTTCCGCAGGAAAACTTGAATCCCTTAGTAGTTCTGAATTTATTTAAACGAATCCCTGCTGAAGATGTTCCTCTACTTCTAATGAACCCGGAAGCTGGAAAACCCTCCGATTTGATTCTCACGCGACTTTTGGTGCCCCCTTTGTGTATCAGACCCTCTGTTGTGAGCGATTTGAAGTCTGGCACCAATGAAGATGATCTGACAATGAAATTGACAGAAATCATTTTCCTAAATGATGTCATTAAAAAGGTCAGTGCTTTCCATTAGTGTTTCCAAGGCTATAAGTTTTGGAGTGTGTCTGTACAAAAATGTCCAGTCAAGAAGATCAAGCTGAGGCTACCGTTACTGAACATTTTGATCAAAGAGTCTATAGAAGAATCCTGATCAAAAGGGGGAAAATATAGAACAGAATTTCTAATTCTCAAGTACTCCAAACTCTGGAACCATGAGGGTTGGATGAACCCGTGAAACTATTGCCCTGAGATAATCTTTAAACCAAAAATACCACCTGAAGCCTTCTTAAAACCAAACAATAGTTTAGCTTAACTAGTAAAAAATGTCTAGCTTTATGCTCTTTTTTCTTTTTTTCATTGTACTTCAGGTGAAGGCTTACAGAACAAATAGTTTCTTATAAAACGGTAGTACACATATTGTTTTATGACATGGGTTAACAACCCCACAACATGTCAACCCTCTCCCTTCTCGACCTTTTTTTTTTTT